ATAGGGCTATGGCGGCGTGTCCGAATGTGAAAAGTGGGAGGGGCTTAGAAGATAGGTCTACAGAATGGTGGATAGGTGGGAGCCAGGCTGCCACCTATCCAACATTCCACTGACACCGACAGTGCTTATAGGTGGAAGCCAGGTGCATTGCTAATGTGACTGGAATGGTGGATAGGTGGCAGCAAGGTGCAGAAACCTTTCCAGAGTCCCTGCCACCCATAGACACTGTAAGTGTCACTGGAATGGCGGATAGGTGAGAGTGTCTCTGGAAAGGTGTGTGCACCCGGCTGCCACCTATCCACCATTCCAGTGACACTAATAGTGCCTGTAGGTGTAAGCCAGGTGCACTGTCAGTGTCACTGGAATGGTGGAGAAGTGAAATCCATGTGCACACACCTTTTCAATTACACTGACACTGGCACCTACAGGCACTGTAAGGATCACTGGAATGGCGAATAGGTGAGAGTGTCTCTGGAAAGGTGTGTGCAGCTGGTTCCCATGTATCCGCCATTCCAGTGACGTTGACAGTGCACCTGGCTGCCACTTTCAGGCACTGGCAGTGTCATTGGAATAGTGTATAGGTGGGAGCCAGGTGCACACACACCAACCATTTCATTGACACACACACACATCTTCTCCTCTGGTGGCATAGATGGTTGCAGTCCTCTGGGAAATCCTGGTGGAGGCAGCGGCGACTAACAACACTGAGGGAGCCTGTTTGTCCTCCTCCTTCCTCTTCGTCCTCCTTCCTTTTAAATTGCAATAGCCAATAGCAGGCTATCTGTAAAAAATAAGTCAAGGCAACAAGACTAGTATTTTTCGTGAAGACATTTCACTGGTCATCCAACCAGCTTTCTCAATTCATTCAATTTCTGAATTGAGAAAGCTGGTTGGATGACCAATGAAACGTCTTCGAGAAAAAAAAACAGTTGCCTTAACTTATTTTTTACAGATATACCATGACCTGGATGAACATTGCAGTAATGTGCATGACAGCAAGGCAATAGTGTAAGTGGGCCCCTATTGTGTGTGGAATTGGATATATATTTATTGATATTGGCTGAGATCAGTGCTGTCCATATAATGAAGCAGAATGAGGATATTGCCTCAGGCTGCATCTCTTTGGGTCACATGGGTGGGGCATCAGGCAGAGCAGCATGAGTGTAAGAGCCATACCCGCACTCAGCAACCTGGAACGCTCTGGCTGGCGTGATGTCACTGGTTGCCCGGAGCTGGGCGGCATGCCGGCCGGAGCCATAGCTGGGCAGGGAGATGTTTCAGAAGCCCCCCAACCCCAACACCCCCTCCCTGATTCCCCTCTCCCCAAGGTTAGTGTGCACCACCAGCAGTTACTGTTTTGTGGCCATTCAACCAAAACTTAGTGGACACATTGGGGAGAGTTTATCAAAACTGGAGCAGACAAAATCTGGAGCAGATTTGCACTGCAGCCAATCAGCTTCTCTGTCTCATTTTCAAATCTTACCTAAACAAACTGAAGAGAGATTCCAATTGGTTGCCATGGGCAACTGCTCCAGATTCTGCCTGCTCCATTTTTGATAAATTCCCCCCCATTGTGTGTTGATGTCATCCAGTAAAGCCGGCCAGACATGTTACAAGCTGATTGCAAATTCTACCTGGCTTAGGTTGATTGACGCAAAAAAGAAAATATCCTGCAAAAAAAATCTGCTGTCTGCATACCTATGTGGGAGATTTCTCCTCGCTACCTGTCCATGTGATGGGTGACAGGCAAAACAGGAAATGAGGGGAAATTTTCCCAGCGGGCACAGGCAGCAATAAAAACACATTTAAGCTAAAGAATTAGAGCCTTTGTCAGGATTTTATTGCTGCATGTATCTGAGATTTGACCTAATTTCCTCTTTCCTGTGCAGGGGAAGGGTGTCAGACAGAACTGGAAGAGAAAAGAATTCTCCTCTTTCGGGACACAGACAGCATTTAAACAAAAATTCGAACCCTTCCCCCACTACTGGAGTTTGGCGCTCTGCTACCATACCACAGAAAGAAAGTAGGGTTGGTCACTGACTAGCTGAGCAGGGGGAACACCATCCCCTTATTTTGTTCAACGCTTTAAATATTTTATTTTGTATACTATTACTTTGTCATATACATCGCAATGCATTTGGTGTATTTTCTTGATGACCGCCCGAGAGAGCAACTATTTGCTACTTATGCACTTGTTTTTCTCTTCTTGTGATCACCATCAAAGCTTTTAAAATATAAAATAAAGAATTTATATTAAAAAAAAAAAGAAAGTAGGGTCAAATACTGAAAGTGTATTGAAATCCAAAACTTTATTTAGTTCTGGACGGAGTGCAGAAAAGTTGGAACCTCTATCAGATTCTCATTGTTGTTGGTGTCCCTCCTGGGTTCACCCCTTTATTTTTCTTGGTCACCATTGTCATTGGGAAGGGAAGTCATAGGAAATACAAAATGTTACAGCTGTCACCAGCACAGGAGCTGAAGGTAGATCGTTAAATGAAGGCATTTGTTATGTTGCCAGTTGTCTAAGAAGGAAGTCCTGACTTCCTGTTTGTGTCTACAGGACAGGAAGTAAGGACAAATATCTCCAATAATGATTCTTAATGTATCCCCCCAAAAATGTTTTTGCCTTAGGTGTACTTGAAAGACCTTTCAACACCTCCTTACAAGACTTTGCCCAATCTAAAGTGTGTTGCACTGTCTCATAGGCTATTTTACCTCTCTTTTGTTTTTTTTCTTACCCACACAGTCTGTATACTGGTTTGTCTTTTATGTCATTTATTTTAAAAAGTCTCAACGCTGCTTTGTAAAAAGGGTTTAATGACCTAAAGGTCTGCATTTCCTAAAGCCTTCTTGTACACAACAGTGAGGACTTAGTCTGGGGGTCTTTAGGAACGTCATACATTTATATCCTCATACTCATCTTGTATATGTAGGTTGCAGAATTATTAAGTTGTGATTGGTTGCTTTTAGAAGATACTGCAAAATTGCCTTTAAGAACAGGAATATATGGCACTCTTCCAATGGGGACACTAGTTCTGGTGACCCTGAGGGACTTCCCTCACTTTGGAGGGATTTTCACTCACTTCCTGTTTTGACTATGGGAAATTGACTTCAGTTCTACTTTAATGAGTACGCATGGAACACTTCTTGCAAGTACCTCTAAACTTTCACTATGGGTGAAAACATTGATAAATAGACTTGTAGCCCCTTCCACCCTAAGTGGAGTGGCTGCTTAAATTTAGTGTTGCTGGCACTGTAATCAGTCTGGCTTATTTGTAGTCTGGTATCATCTGGTGATTCCTTGGTGTTCTGCTATCGATTGCACCTACTTGAGTGGGGTGTTACCCTGCCACAGAGGGGAGCAGCCATTGGGAGAACATTCAGAGTGTCTATGCCTCACCAGCCAATCAGTAGGAGTTCCATGGCCAGTGGGGCATGCTGGGGAAGTGCATAAATACTCAGGAATTGCAATGTGCTCAGGGCAGTCCGCCCCCAGGCTTCTCCTGGAGGTAGGACGATAACTAGGCCTCAAGCCTGAAGGAGGCCAGATGTGGAACCAGGTGGGCTGTGGATCAATCTGGGAAGGAGAACCAGAGGAGCCCTATGACTGCTGGAAGCACCAGGAAGGCCATGATGGCAAGGACCTCAGGAACAAGCCTGGTGTCTCTCCCAGGAAAGATCTCATGCATACCATATTCAGCTGTTGCTCTACTACACAATATCATCCTCTGCTCAACTACATATTCCTGCACTGTAGAAGCTGGAAGGGATTGGTGAGTCTGGAGTCTATTTTTGCCCATGGATGTCTGTAGCCCTATACCCTCTCTCCTAGTTTGGCTGTTCTTTAATAAAGCATCTAAAAAGACCTTAAAGTGACTGGCGCACAATTCACCATTCACATCCCACAACCTGGCTAAGGATCCATCCTTGAGCGTGAAATGTCAGCCCTCCCTGCCTTTGGGGGTCCACCACAGGCCTTCAGGGGTCAGGGGGGCACTACAACTGATTTTTTATAAAGTGTACTGTTTATATGTACCCAGGGAATGCATTTTATGGACTGAACCGTGCATTTGTTTTATCACAAAAACTCCTCTTTCCGCCCTTAAAAAAGAAACACTGTTTTATTTTTTCATCAACTTTATTGCAAAATTGAAACAAATGAAACACACACACAGAACGTTCAAACAGTTTGTAACTTTTACAAATTAAAGATTTTGTGAATCCACATGGTGAAAGTAATTCAAAATCCCCTTTTCATTTTTTTTGGCAATTTTTTGTTTAATATTTAAATAAGAACTTCCCACCCAACGAGCACACGTATCCTCATAAATCCAACATGCACCACACATGGTGCAAGGAGTGATTGCCTAGGTATCAGTTACCCATTGACCTCTTCCATGACACATGCAAGAGGGCAATACTAACAGACAAAATCCCCTGAAATAGGGGAAAGAAGAGCCGGCTTCCTGTCTGTGAAAGGACATCCAAAGCAAATCGTTGGAGGTCATGGCTGGTATTGAACGAGAGACACAAAATTTGACCCATAGGCAACTGCCAACATTTTTTTACAGTCTTTAACTCTAACTAGAGGCTAGTACCCCTTTGATACTAAATGACTCTTCGCATTAAGTCCCAGAATCTGCTGAGCTAAAAATATCAGCTACTGCGCCAAAGGCCACAAGACCACAGCACCATGTAAGAGTTGTAAACTTCAATCAGAATATGAAACTCAAATCTAACATGATAATTATTGGAATGGGTGGTTTCTGTCTCTTTTCAAGGCCTTCAAAGCCTTACTACAGTATCTTTCATGGCTCATGGTTGTCCTTTAAGATCAAACCAAAGGTCCAATAGAGGAACCTCCAGGGGGACTGTCTTTGCTTTGGTGGAATGTTCTCTTTTTGTAAACAGGTCAAGATGTCAAATGCCAACGTTTAGTTTTTTTTGGTTGTGTTTTTGTTATATGATCCTTTTATTTAAAAAACAGAATTTATTTATGACTACCAAACAAAAAAAATCTTGTCACCTTTTGGCCTGACTAATCTACCAATGAAGAGAATGGAGTCTGTCTTCTTGTCCTTGATAAGGAAGACGTAGGGGTGGTCGGCGTAGAAGAGTTTGGGTGTTCTAAGCTCTTCTCTGGTGTAGATGTCCGCATCGAAGGGGTTTCCATCGGTGTCCCACTCCAGAGCAGCTGCGTGGTACAGGCTGGAGAGGTAGAGATCCTTCTTGCCAGATATTTTGGAGAGGTCAGCCTTGGTTTTATCAATGGCTTCGGTCAGACCAAGTTCACCCAGGTGTTTCTGGAATTAAGAAAAACGTAGATTTGAAGTGGATGTGAAAAGTGAAGATTTGCTCTGTTCAAACGGAACATCTATAAATGGGGCACCCCGGTGGCATAGTGGTTAGAACTTCTGCCTTGCAACACTGAGGGTCCCTGGTTCAAATACCAGCCAGGTCGCTATCTGCAAGGAGTTTGCATGTTCTCCCTGTGCTTGTGTGGGGCTACTCTGGTTTCCTCCCACACTCTAAAGACATGCTGGTAAGTTAATTGGCTCCTGTCTAAATTGGCCATGTATGTGAGATAGGGACCTTAGAATCTAAGCTCCTTTAGGGCAGGGACTGATGTGAACATGCAACTATGTAAAAGTGCTGTGTTAATTGTTGGCACTATATAAATACATAATAATTGTAATTTTTGTCTTGAATTCCTCCTGCAAAATTGCCCAATAGATTGCTCGTCTCTTAAAATGCCACCAATTCATTTTAAATTAGTCATAACATATATATCTTAGTTTCATGCGTCGAATGTGCAGTGAGTCCAGACTTTTAAAGTTAGAATGGCAAAGTCAATAACTTGAACTGAAGTTGAGTTGTTAGAATGAGCATGCAAGTGGTGGAAATTAGTTTGGTTGAAGCTGTTGGGTTAAACTATGGTAAAGGTGGAGTTAAATAATTGGTGAGGGTACCTGAATGATCTTATCAGGGAAATGACTGATTTGTGCAAGATATGTGAAGGAAATTGTGTAAATAGGTCAGGGTTCTACATGTTAAACAGAGACTGTGTAAGGTTAGGGTGAAATGTAGGAAAATAAAATGCTGCATGAATTCAACATATCAGAAGTTTTGGCTTTAACACCTGGTGGTAAAATGGTTCAGCTTGAATTCTATTCAAGATATTCAAGGTTGGGTTGTGTACATGAAATGGTCCAAATGAAGGGGTGGTTGGGGTTTAGGATTGGTTTAATGATATGATGCAGATGAGATAATTGGTTGGGTTTGACACATTTAATGTTAAAGCTAAATAGTTGAATGGATGAATCGTCAAGCTGGACTCACCTGAAGGTCGTGGCTGACTTCCATGCTGATTTTGGGCAAGGACACTGCAACTGCTTTCTTCTGCATCTTTCCAAGCCATGTTTTGACCTGTTCTCTGGTCAGGAGTTTCTCTACTCTCTCCAGGGGCTCCACATGGTGGGGCATAATGACGATCATGCTGGACAGCTTGTGGGCCAGGGGCATCTCTATCATCTGAAGGGCGTTGGTCTCATCCTCATAGTAATTGTATAGACCTAAAGGCAAGATCAAGAGCTTGTAACCATGGGATATTTTGCATGCTTGTGACACACATTAAAACGGAACTGTATGATTACTAGGCCACATGTATTGATAAACTGACATCTAAGGTTAAGCACTATCCATGGAATATCCATAGAAAATTAGAGCATTTACAATATATTCTGCAGCAGTGTATGCTCTCAAAAACAACCAGATAGCCTCTATGATGTATTCATAAAAATTTCCAAACATTTTCTTAAAGCCAAAATCCAGCCAACACTTTTTAGTTTTGGAAAGAGTGAATAAGGGTAAGTCATCTGTTATTGCTGTCTGTATCCCCATTAACTACACCCCTTCAATTCATGTGTAAGTGTCTCCTCAGTGCGGTCACAGATACCCCCAAAAATGTAAGTTTCTAAAGAGTAAGCCCACTATAAAACAAAAGTCTGGAGCTGGACTTCTAAGATCTAAAGTCTTGCATTTGGATATTATAATGTCCCATAAGGAGCGTTAATTGTTATTGAGGTTTTCACCCAAGTTGTCATCATGATGTTTAGTTGAACATACCTGTGCGATGCATCATAGGGACAGACACGGTGAAAGAGCGGGTCACCATGAAGCCACGGTTGTCAACCATCTTGTGGTGGAACTTCTCATCCCAGTGAGCTATAGAATAAAAGGAATGCTGTTATTATCATGAAGAGTATTTGATTAGACAAAGTAAGTGCATTTGCTTTGAATACTTACGCTTGAAGAACATGGCGTTGACAATGAGGGCTCCATCAGTCTTCTCTACATCACTGGTCACCTGAGGGATCTTGCCATCCGTAGTCTGAGTGGCCCATTCATTGATGGATTTAAGGGCACTTCTCTTATCCCGGAAATTAATCTTGGAGTGTTCGTAGTTGTAGTGCTTTTTGCTGCTCTTCACAAAGTCATCAGAGTAGCTGATGGAGCTTGGGCTGTAGAGACGGTTTCCAATTTTCCAGGTGACGTTACGGGCAGTGGAGTTGCTGACTTCATTGAGGAGCTCAGCCAGGCCTGCATGGACAAGCTCATCGCTCAACTTGTCAACGCTAAGGACTGCCTTGGCCTGGGCAGCAGTGCTGGCTTTACCGGCAAGGTTCACCAGACCAAGAGATGAAGCCACCACCACGGGTGAGAGCAAGATGTTCTCAATCTTTTTGTCTTTGGCCATGGTGTGATAGAGGTTATATCCCAGGTTAGCACTTCGGTCAGCAATGGTGCTGGCGTGTTCACTGATCTTCTTCTCTGCTGGAGCATCTTTGGCTGCTTTCTCCACAGCTTTCTTATCTACTGCTGCATCTGCAGTGAGCAGGAGGCCAAGAGCCAAGAATTTGATCATCCACATGGTGCTATTATTTGTAGGAAGCAGCGATGCAACTCTGCAAAAGAAAAGTTAAGGACATTTGGGTTAGAATGAAAATACATATTATGACAATTGACAACTTTTCCTTGGCCCTGTCACCATTAACATGTTAGAGGTCAGATGAGGATAAAATGAAAGTCCATGAAAGCTCAAACGCAACACAAGCACTTTGTCTTGCTTTGTTTTTTTGGTTTTGGTCACGTAAATTTTGAAATTTTGTAAACATTTTGGTAAAATGTCTTTTACTATTTTATAGCATTCTAATATATGCAACTTTGTTGCTAGTTTGTCTTTTTATTACATCAATACACCACTGTTCCTCTGACTAAGACACACACAAGTGTTACACCCAATCACTTCCCTGCCTTGGGGGCAGAGTGAATATAAAACCGCAAACTGGGTCTAGACTAGAATTCTCTGACAGCTAGTCAATTAATTACAAAAAGAGCAACCATGCAAAAATAAAACCATTGGTCAAAGGCATATTAACCTAAACTGGAAAAAGGTCATAAGAAAAAATCCTATTTCTTACGTGTTTGACTTTTGTGCATTTAAGCACACGCCAGGCTAATAAAAACATGGAATGAAATGAAGATCTTAATAGGGCCATTGAATGCAACTGATGCTGCCCCACCCTGCATGTCAGCTAAATGAATATCCTGGGGCTACAGTTTCACAGCGAGTAACTAAATCTAAAGTCTGAGTCACTAAACCTATACTCTGCGCCAACTGCAATAAAAAAAAAGAACATCCAAAATTAATTATTACGTAATAGACAGAAGTTGAAATTGAGAAGCAATGAATGCTGGAGATAGGACATGGCAAGCATTCAAAACACCAGTGGTGAATGGATTCACAAGCCAGCTATTCCAACAACACCGTAATTGTGCATCTCATCCCGCACCTCAAGTGAGATACCCCCCCCCCCCAATCCTCAGCAATAGGGGGCATATGGAAAGATCAACTTTTTATGCTGCAAAAGGAAAACCAGTTAATCCTTTAAGTGGCTTCGGTTGCAAAAAAGCTGCATGAACTGTTTTCAAATGACCATCATTTACTATTCACAGAGCAGCTTGGCATCACAGCCAGTGCTGAGAAAGAGATGAGAATGTGGATTCGAGATACCTTTATAGAGATTCATAGTGAGGTCAACTTTTGCAATTTTCATTCTGAAAGAAACAGACAAATGAAGCAGATTCCCATAGAACACAATTGAGCACCAGTAGATGTAGAAGCACTGTTGTAGGTTAATGAGACCCTCCTGTGGCTCTTAGCAGTACTGCCCCCTAGTGGTGAGCTATGGCTGGTGTTGGTGGGATAAGGTGGGGGCAGATTTAGGTGGTTGGGGGGGATGATGATGTGGCAAGGTCTGAATGCTGTCTATGTGTTGATCCTTTTCTAGATATAATGTCCTGCCCAGCACAGCCCCTGATGTTTGTGATCTCATGGAATATAGAGCATAACAAAGGAAAAGGATGTGTATTATGGATTCGGACGATAGACAAAACACAAAGCATAACAGCCATCTCTTGTCTGATGTCATTAACCCTTAGTTTTTTTTGTTATTGCTTTCAACATCCTGTTTTTTCTAAAGCAAAGGTAAATCTTATGCAGCATTTAAACTGACTCATGCACGGTTATATTTAATGTTATAAGGATACAATCTACATACATTGCATTATTGCTCTTAGTACGGTTGTATTTGCTAAGCCCGTGGAATCCCAGTTAACAATTAGTAGACTTCTTCTACAAGTTCAAAGCAATAATCACAAGGGACCCATCTGACAAGACAGATAATTTGGTTCCAATGGGTTACTGCACATTACTTCTTCACCTTACTGCATCCCTTCAACAACCATTCCTCTGCATTGGATTGTGGTAACGACATGCAGACTTAGTTTCACACACTGTTGTGGAACTGCCATTCCCAGAAAGACTTGATGGGGCAGTAAAATGGAATCCATGCTTGGATTTTTATCATAGAGCTGCGTTGCCATACAATTTGCATCATTGTCAAGGATCCCAATTTCTGAAGGATAACTACCCCCCACTCTGCTAATTTTGCAAGGCACTTCCAACGTACGGTGGAATGTCTAACTAAAGGGTGCATTGGTAGACGGCTGGTGAAGAGCGTCGCCATCTTTTCCTATTGCAGGGGTGTTTCCTTCTAATTTTACCCCAAAAGGATGCCAACTAAAAACTTTAAGCAGAGCTCGGTAACATCTCGGACTAACAGTAATTCACTCTTACACTTTGTAGATTAATCTTATACCTACAACATACTTTTTTCTTAACAGTAATCACATATCATACATACACCCGTGCAAAGAGCAATGTATAATGCAATGAGATCATACAATCAATCAGAATTTGTCTTTAAATAGCCTGAATGTCTAAAAAGGGAGATGTCGTTGGCTGCCATCGTTGCATATCTCTATGTTCTCCGCCATATTGATCCTAATTTGTATTTTAAGTGATACTCCTTTTTGGCTAACTTCAGTTATTCAAGATGCAAGCTTTCGGGATTCCTTAGAGCCCTTCGTCAGGCTTGGAAATGTATAAAGCTTGAAGAAGGGATCTAAGGAATCCTGAAAGCTTGCACCCTTTAATAACAGAAGTTAGCCAAGAAAGGGAATCACTTAAACTCCAAAGTAAACAATGGCTCACACAATACAATACTCTACCATTCCTAATTTGCAAATGCAATGCAACAACTCTACAAAGCTATGCGGTGCAATTAGTACTGTTTTTGTGCAATGAAAGCAAAGCACAAACCAGCTCAGGCAGCAATTATTCCGCATGAATAGAGCTCTGAATTCCTGAGCACAGATCTATACTGTACACAGAGCCTTGTCCCCCCCCTACCCAGTAGGATGTCTATAGGATAGGTGACATACCTCACCAGCAGAAGCTATGGAGCTATGCCTCTCGTGAGCTGTCCTCCTCTGTGTCTACGTGACTGTGCCCTGCTCATCCAACAGCCCAGCCTATATACCCAGCAGAGGAAAGTTCTGGAAGTTTGAAAAAGTTTATTTAAATGAGGGACTTTGATGGCCCCCTCCTTCACCCACTGACGTCTCCAGCCCTCCTCCTGTGAAACCAGCCCCTCGGCTGCTGGAGACAACCCCTGACATTCCTTCCTCTGACAATGTGGATATTTTCAACTGGATTGTTATACCGGGGATGCAGATAATGGCGCTCGCAGCCTGCAGAATAAGTCCGCCATACAATGGACGATTATCATACGTAGGTTCTTACAGAAAATCTCATCAGAACATTCGATAACGCCATCAGAGACTTGACGAATGTCCTTCAAAGTTTCATATGAAATGAATGGAGTTTCCTGAATGAAAATCACATTCACTGTAAGGATTTTTTTAGTTCAAGATAAATTCTCCATCGTGTTCTTTCGATTTGGCCCCATTAATTATCAGAACATCAAATGAACCTTCCAGGAGCATTTTTTTTTTGAACAAAATTTTACTGCAGGCAGCTTTGTATACAGGCAAAGTTCTTGTAATAACGGTGCCTGCAAGGGGCCTCCAGGATGGGGATAGAGTTTAGAGCAGCGTTTCTTAACCGATTTTTTGTCACAGCATCCTTTAAAAGTATGCAAAATCTCCCCCCCTCAGCCCCTTCACATCGAAGTCCCCCTTTACATCAAGAGCCCCCTTTTCATTAGGAGTCTCCTTCACATCAGAAGCCCCCTTCACATCAGGAACCTCCTTCACATCAGGATCCCCCTTTACATCAGAAACCCCCTTCACATCAGGATCCCCCTTTACATCAGAAACCCCCTTTACATCAGGAGCCCCCTTTACATCAGGAGCCCCCTTTATATCAGGATCCCCCTTCATATCAGGAGCCCCCTTTATATTAGGATCCCCTTCACATTATTATTATTATTATTGTACAGGATTTATATAGCGCCAACAGTTTGCGCAGCGCTTTACAATATAAGGAAGACATTACAGTCACAATACAATTTAAGACAAGATGGTAAGGAGGGCCCTGTCCCTGAGGGCTTACTATCTAAAAGGGAGGGGCAAGTGATACATGAGAAGGTAGCTGTGCGGGGATGATTGTTTGAGAAAGTGATTGTTCAGTGGTTAGGGTGAGGTGGGATAGGCTTCCCTGAAGAGATGAGTCTTAGCCCTCGTTCACACCTGAACGTTTTGTAGCGCGTTCTACGCTCGACGAACGCTCTACAAAACGCTCAAAAATATAAATCCCATTGTATTCAATGGTCTCGTTCCCACCTTGGCGTATTTCCGCCCGTCCCTAACGCGCTACAAAACGGCCCACGCCTGAAAAGGTCCCGGGACTACTTTGGGCCGTTTTGTTGCGCGTTTCCATTGGGATACAGCCAAGTAGCCTTCGGAAACGCGCGACGATCGCGCAACTTTTTTACCGCAAATCGCGACGGTCGCGCGACAGACGCGCATATGCAATACGCCTAGGTGTGAACGAGACCTTAAGGGATCGCCTAAAGGCAGTCAGTGTGGGAGATAGACGGACAGGTTGGGGTAGAGAGTTCCATAGGATGGGAGACACTCTAGTGAAGTCCTGTAGGCGAGCATGGGAGGAGTTGATGATGGAGCTGGAAAGCAGGAGGTCTTGTGAAGAGCGGAGGGGACGGTTAGGGTAATACAGTTTGGAGATATAGCCAGGGCCAGAGTTGTGGATGGCTTTGTACGCGGTTGTTAATATTTTGAATTTTATCCTTTGGGCTATAGGAAGCCAGTGCAGGGATTGACAGAGGGGGGTTGCAGACACTGAGCGGTTGGTTAGGTGAATGAGTCTAATTTCACTCAGTGTAATAATTTCACATCTGAAACTCCCTTCATATCAGGAGTCCCTTAACATCAGGAGCCCCCTTTACATTAGCATTCCCTTTAACATCAGGAACCCTTTTACATTAGGATTACCCCTTCATATCAGGAGCCCCCTTCACATCAGGATCCCCCTACACACTGGTGTGTGGCCAGCTTTAGATATGACATTGATCAGTTCAGTGCTAAAGCTGGCCATACACAAGTAGAATTTCCTTCCCCAAAAAATACATTTTTGGGCCGTTCATTCAATTTTCTAATAGTAAATAAGGTCAAATCGACGCTTGTTTTTGATGGCAGTGGCGGAAGTAATCAAAGGAGCAGGATGGAAGTTTTTTCTCAAGTGAATAATATACTAACAGTGAATGTGATTTTCGTTCAGGAAACTCCATTTATTCCAAAATCGAAATCTTAAAATGAAACAAAATTTGGAACAACATCGGTCAAGTCTCTGATGGCATTATCCAATGTTCTGATGAGATATTTCATATAAATCTGGGTACAAATATGTGCTATCGAATGACCAGCTTCAGGGTCCATTTACAATTGTGTGGTACATTATTGAAAGAAATCTGTATGGCCAGCGGTAGTGTTTTGGGGTGTTATTCATATTGAATGGCCCCATAATGCATGAAATATGATCCAAATTGTTGCAACAAATAAATCATTTAAGTCTTTTGGAGACAAAAATGCGCAATCAGACCCCAAAAAAGCTCCAGTACTTTTTTTGAGCCTTGAGTGTCAGCACATCACTCCGATGTCAATGGGCGCAGGAGGATAACAATGGAGTGTTGAAGCGCTTCTGGAAAAAGCTCCTCTAATAGCTCAGGTGTGAGTTGGAGTTTAGGAAACTACAGATCACCAATGAATCCCTGCGTTTATTGATCACACTCATTGAATCTGAATCTCACACGTGGTCATTAGCCTTATTCTGACCTAAGAAAGGAGGTGACGCTGTATGGTAGAGCTCTGAGTTTGTTTGAACACCTGATGCACTTTTTTCATGAGGAACTTTCTAGACGTCTGTGTGTTACCCCTGAGGGGAAAGGAGGGGAGGAACTAAGAAACTTACAGGCCGCCCTTTAGACGCTGAACATTCCCTCTGTTGCTGCATATTACACTGTACTGTGCCTGGGCCTTCTGCAGCTCAATGTGATTATTCATTTCTGTCTCAGGTGATACCAATGAAAGAGAGATGTAGGACACATTTACTTCTTTGCGGTGTGTTACCTTGTCGCGTGTTTATGTGTGTTGTGTTGAAGGTAGCCAAGTCAAAATGAATAGAACGCCAACACACCCTAAAATGCCCCAAATCACACATGACCTTTTTTTTTAATGCAATATAGGGCAAGGCACTTCTATGTTTTGCTGTGTTTTGGTGCACTACATTGTAGGGGTGTTGTCTGGGTGTGTTGTGGTGCCATTGAAAACAAATGGCACTCCAATGCATGCTTTGTGCATTACAGTACCATATGGATGGGAGACATAGATAGGCTAGTTCTTCAAGGCAGTGCATGCTGGGACTTCTGGTTGATCGGATACATAAGGCAGTGCATGCTGGGACTTCTGGTTGATCGGATACATAAGGCAGTGCATGCTGGGACTTCTAGTTCACTAGAGGCATAAGGCTGCATGCTGGGACTTCTGGTTGATCGGATACATAAAGCAGTGCATGCTGGGACTTCTAGTTCACTAGAGGCATAAGGCAGCATGCTGGGACTCCTATTGCATCAGAGGCAATGCATGCTGGGACTTCTAGTTCATTAGAAACATAAGGCAGTGCATACTGGGACTTCTATTTCATCAGAGACATAAGCCAGTGCATGCTGGAACTTCCAGTTCATTAGATTCATAAGTAAGTTCATGCTTCGACTTCTAGTTCACAAGATACATAAGGCAGTGCATGCTGGGACTTCTAGTTCATCAGCTACATAAGGCAGTGCATGCTGGGACTTCTAGTTCATGAGATACATAAGGCAGTGCATGCTGGGACTTGTAGTTCATGAGATACATAAGGCAGTGCATGCTGGGACTTGTAGTTCATGAGATACATAAGGCAGTGCATGCTGGGACTTTTAGTTCATGAGATACATAAGGCAGTGCATGCTGGGACTTTTAGTTCATGAGATACATAAGGCAGTGCATGCTGGGACTT